TGTTGGAACGATAGCGTCAAACAGAGACCTAAATGTGGTCGCCCAAAGAGCCCAAGTGTTAGACAAGATAGACAGATATCATTACTTGCCAAGAGAAACCGAATGTTCTAAGCTGTTTCTTTAAATAGAGAGCTATCTGTAGCAACAGGTATAAGGATCTCCACACAAATCTTACGAAACAGACTGCATGATACAAGATTACGTGCCAGAAGACCTCCTGTGCAACCACCTTTGACCGTGGAACATCGCAACCGTCGCCTCCAATATGCTCAAGACCATATCGACTGGGACCATCATCATATCCAAGGCGTATTATGGATTGATGAATCCAGATTTTGTCTGGATTTCAATGATGGTCGCAGGCGAGTATGGAGGAAGAAAAATGAGAGGTTTAAGGACTGTTGCATCACTGAACATGATCGGTTTGGTTGTGGGTCAGTCATGGTTTGGGCAGGTATCAGTTACGATAGCTCCACAGACCTCTATGTCATAAGGAATGGATCACTAACAGGTGTCCGTTAAAGGAATGAGATCCTTGCACCAATTGTAAGGCCTTAAGCTGTTGCCATCGGTGAAAATTTCATTTTAATGGACGACAATGCCAGGCCACATCATGCGAGAGTGGTCAACCAGTACTTAGAAGAAGAAACAATCGGAAGGATGGATTGGCCAGCAAATCACCTTACTTGAATCCAATAAATCATGCATGGGACATGCTCCAGAAGCAAATTTTAGAAAGGCAAAACCAACTAAGAACTCTCCGTGAGCTTGAGTTTGCTCTTGTTGAGGAATTGTCAAGGATTCCACGGGATAAATTCCGAAATTTAATCAACAGTTTTTCAAGTCGTTGTAGGGAAGTAATTCGGGCGAGAGGTGGCCATACAAGATATTAAAAAAATAACGTTTGGACTTTCCAGGCTAATTTAAAACCTATAACTACGACTGTTATTTCCTCTTGAAATCCAATATTGTTGAATATTCTTGTTGTTTTGACAGTTACATGTTGTTACATGTTGTTCAGTTGTTTATTATAAGACATTTATTATTGTTTACATTTAAAATATTATTTATTTACATCACATTTACAATATATTGTGCAAAAAATAAAATTTTCAAGTTGGCCCTTAATTTATTTTGTTGAGTATATATTAGATCAACAATAGGAGCCCTTGCAAAGGCACTATAGAACCCCATTTGTTTACATAATTGATTTATCATTTCATGATTTATAGAGGGCGAGTTTGGGTGCGTTCAAGATCTCAGTGCTAGATGGATTTTAGTACATATACGAAATTTGATCAGAAATTTTGCTAGCCTAGCAGCCACGTAAATTATATGTATTATAAATATTTATGCTAAGTTGAAATCCTGCATTAGTGCAACCCTACTTGGATAAAACTTGCATCACGCAACAAGCTGTATATATACTAATCAAGAAAACATTGATGTAACCATCAATTTTCGCCAGGGAAATAAATAAAGTAAACAATGGAAATGATTCTTGATCATCAAACCGCTTCGATATGAATGAAAAAGCATCCGTTTAAATAATGGAGACGATAGTCTTGAATATTTTAAAAAAATTATAGTCGGAGAAAAATCGAACAAAAACGATACCCTTTTAAACTTTATCAATTCTTCAGGTAAATGTTAGCTGTATAAGATATAAACTTAGAACCGACACATGCATCACCTATTTTCAAAAATGTATTTTACTTTAAGAATATAAAATAGGAACTGTATAAATAGTACGTTTTATGCGAAAAGTAAAATTTGATGTTCTAAAAAATGGGATCTGTCGTTTTTCGATAGTAAATGATAAGCAACTGTATATATTATATATGAAAAACATATATATTTTTACAGATTCACTTTATGGAAGTAAACATATTATGTATCTCCTAATTTATAAAGGGAAAGAACTTCTGATTAAAAACCTTTTTAATCATGTTAATGTTCAGAAAACTTCTAATTCAGAACAACTTCTCCCACCTCAATCCCCATACACCTACACTTAAACTTATAATTATATGTATAGAACATTATATATAACTATTTATATTTTTGCTTTTCATTTATTTTATTTTTTTTGATTTAACGTAATTTTTTTTTTGGGGGGGGGGGGGGAGGGGGGATTTCCTCCTCTTTCATTGTCAAAAAGGATTTGCCAAACTTGTTCAAGCTAAAAGTTGAAATGAAGGAAAAATTAATTTTTCTATTAAAGAGTATTGGAACCTGATTGTTGCATGGTTTGATTTCTAAAAACAAGTGGAATATTATTCTTTGAGCAAACACTATAAGGAGGAAATTAAAAAGAAATTTTATTAATATTGACAATTAAAGTATCTCTTTTCACTTTAAAGGGGGTCATTTTTCAATGGGCGTCAATTTTTTATAGGACTAACATGTAAAATAATGACCCCAATGACACTTTTTCTACAAAAAATGATTTTTTTTCTACGGGTAGGGGGTCAAATTTTGTCGTTAAAAAATGACCCCTGGTCATTATTCGATGGGGGTCATTATTCGTCTTTACACCGGAAAATACAGATCAGATTTAGTATCCGAAGCAAGTCTGGCTGTATGCATCCTTAGATGTATAATCCATGCAGTTTGATCAACATTGAGCTTAAAGTTACTTGGAAACAAGACCTACACCAACCAGAAATCTCTGATGAGACTGTAGCTCTACTGGTCTGAAGGTATAACAAAGGAAAAGTAGCACTTGGATTTGAAACTTTGTAACAGGCAGTAATAAATAGAATTATGTATCTAAGTGTAGTCTACTTGTGTGCCAAGTTATATTGAAATCAGATCAAAACTTTAGAAGGAGTAACATTTTAAAGGAATTTCACAGAAATTTCTTTTTTTTGTAACCATGGCAATACATTTCATCAAAATCAAAAACCGATACACTTCTTTATGTATCTTTTTGTAGTCTACTTGTGTGCCAAGTTACTAGTATATTAAAATAAGACCGAGACTGAAGGAGGAGTAGAGTTTTAAAGGAATTTCTCAAAAAATTCAATTTCTAGTAACCATAGCAACACCGTTTATCGAAATCATAAGCTAAGGCACTACTTTATGCATCTTAGTGTAGTCTACTTGTGTGCCAAGTTATGCTGAAATCAGATCAAAACTGTAAGAGGAGAAGCGTTTTAAAGGAATTTCAAGAAATTTCTATTTTTAGTAACCATGGCAATTCCATTCAGCTAAATCGAAAACCAATGCATTAATTTATGTATCTAAGTGTCGCCTACCGTTGTGCCCAATTATATCGAAATAAGATCAAAACTGTAAGAAGAGTAGCGTTTTAAAAGAATTTCTAAAGGAATTCTATTTTAAGACACCATTGCAATACCGTTCATCGAAATCAAAAACCTATGCGATACTTTTTGTATCTTAATGTAGTCTACTCGTGTGCCAAGTTATATTGAAATCAGACCAAAACTGTAGGAGGAGTAGCATTTTGAAAAATTGTTTACAGACAGATGGGCGGACGGACGACGGACGCATTACTATCGCATAAGCTCTTCTGGTCTCTGACCAGTAGAGCTAAAAAAGAAAGAAAGTATTTAAAACCTTATCCCTATTTCTTTTAAGGATTTTCTTTTTAAATTCTCTTACATATTGTAATAGAGATTGTGATGAGAAAAGAACTATAAGTAATTCTTTTTTTGCAGAAATAAATGTTCTAAATTTTTTTAAACATGCATGTATATGGGCAATGGAGTTTTATTCTAGCACTTTAAACTAAAAAGGAAATTCTTTACTGTCAACTGACATTCAATTATTGAATACTCTTTATAAAATTTATCCTGCAATACAAAGGGTGATTCCTGTTAAGGTATTTAAATGCCTTCTCGACCAGGAAGTATAAACACTAGACAGGTAGATAATACACGTGATCAGAGTGTATAGAGACTGTACTTGGAGATCGATCAACAGGACAGCCGCCATAACTGAAGTCAGGTAAGAAATTTAGGAGGTAACTTGAGCATTTTTGAGTATTTTAAAAAGGTTAAGGAAGTTCCTCAGTAGGTTTGAACCATGGGTAACAAAGACATTGCCCTATTACTAACATAACTCAGTAAAGTTTGTGCTTTGGACTATGATTGAATATCAAGCTACAATGTAAGTGGGTTAGTCAGCATTACATAAGATGATATCTTCGGGTTTCTACAAGTAATTCAAACAGTAAATACTGTCAACGTAATTAATTGTCAATGTCTGAAAGTTTACCTGTATTTCTCAAACTTTCTTTCATGCCAAGATCCAATGACAGCTGTGACTTGCCTATCTATATCTGCAAGCAAAATTCTTAAATTTTTCATTTGTCTTAAATTTTTTCTTAAAATGAATATTCATGAGAAGAAATTTTAACTTTTTTAGCTTCATAAAGTTTAAAGATGGACCCCAGTACCAGTGCCCAGGATGTGATGCGATGTGACCTGTGTGAGACCGCTGTGGTACAGATGCACTGTGATACATGTCTTGTCAACCTGTGTAAGGCCTGTGTGGGAGAACACTTTTCTGCTGATCTCTCAAAACCCCATAAAATTGTGGACTTCAAGGACAGAAAATCTACCCCGCTCTACCCTGGGTGTAAAACTCACGTCAAAGAAAGATGTAAAATGTACTGTAAACAATGTGATATTCCTGTCTGCATCAGTTGTATTGCATCTAAGACACATTTAGGTCATGAGTTATATAAACTCTTGGACTTTCTCAATGGCAAAAAGGAATTGCTTAAACAAGAACGAAATGAATTAAATGATACAATTTACCCCACATACCAGGACATTGCCTCTGATGTACAAAATAGAATGAGTCAGTTAGAAAAGGAACATCGAGATCTTTCAACAGCCATAACAAAACATGGAGAAAACTGGCACAGAGAAATTGACAAACTTGTCCAGAAACTTAAAGCTGAAGTTGATGAGATGAAAAACACGAAGTTACAAACTCTACAGAAACATCTGGATGAAATAAACAAGACAATGTCTGACATCAAGGAAGAAATCAATTCAGTGGAAACTGCAATAGACACTAATGACTTGTCCAAACTATTTAGTACCGCATCCAATGTACAAATATACAGAAATCTTCCTGACAAAATTATTTCATTTTTACCCAAATTCATTTCAGAAAAAATCCAAGGAGAAGAACTTAGTAAACTATTTGGATCATTGTCACAAAGTCCTTTAACATCAGATAAACATGGCTACAGCATGAAGACAACACAGAAATCACCAGAAGCTGGATCCTCTCTTCCAGTCAAACAGGTACTTGATGAACCAGAGACTCTCACCACCATAGACACTGGGTATAGAAAACTTTTCAATGTTGCCTGTCTGAGTGATGAAGAATTCTGGTCTTGTGGAGGTGACAGCACCATGAAACTCTACAGTGTCAATCAGGGATCACTACTCAAGTCAATCAGAACCAAGTCAGGGTACACTCCGTCTAACATAGCGGTGACAAAAAGTGGAGATCTAGTTTATACTGATGTTAGTACTGTAAACATTGTGAAGAATGAGAAGATAGAGGAGGTAATCAGACTAAAGAACTGGAGACCTCTCGGTGTCTGTAGTACCTCCTCTGGTGACCTCCTGGTTATCATGAGGAGTGATGATTACAAGCAATCAAAAGTTGTCCGTTACTCTGGCTCCACAGAGAAACAAATCATTCAGTTTGATGATAAAGTTCAACTACCTCATTCATCATCATCAGTATGTTTTTCAATAACTGAATATCGAAACATTAGTGAGAACAGGAACCTGGATATCTGCATGCCTAACTGTGAAGCTAGGGCAGTATTGGTGGTCAATCAGGCCGGGAAACTGAGATTCAGGTACACTGGACATTCTCCTGCTCCAAAGAACCAGCCATTCTATCCACAAGGAATCACTACAGACAGTCAGAGTCACATCCTTACAGCTGATCCTAGCAATGACTGTGTCCACATCATAGACCAGGATGGACAGTTCCTCTGTTACATAAACTGTGGACTGAGTGATCCCCATGGATTGTGTATAGATACAAATGATAATCTGTTTGTTGCTCAAAGTGAAATGTTAAACAAACAAGTAAAGAAAATCAAATATCTGCAGTGAATTACATCACAGTGAGTGTGTTGTATTCTATATATACTGAAAGGATTAAGAAATGCATATTAAACTTTTGAGTTAAATTAGAAATTATTATTTCACATATGTTTTTCAGCATTTTTATCATACATTTTAATTCATCTTTAATCAACAAGTTACCAAAATTTCGTGCGATTTTGAGTGATAGTTCCTGAGATATTGATATCAATATGGTGACACCCCCCAAAAATAAAACTAACAAGAGGCCCAGGGGCCTTATAGGTCACCTGAGCATCATGCAACAACTTTCAAAATTATTGAATTTGATTCATGTTTTAAGCTAGATGTTATGGCATTCACAATTTTGAAAGAGGCACCATTGCTTATCATAACTATACACTTAGCAATCGCTTAGTTTGTTTACTTAATACCTATAAGCAGGCTGGGGAACAAAAATGTATGTCAACTAATCAGTAATATTCAGCAATAATCAGGAGTGCTGCTACCACACATGAACCCCTGACCCTAGGTCTACACATTGCAAAATTTTTGAAAAGGCACACTTGCATATCAAAAATGTTTGATTAATACCAAGGAGCAGATTTTAAACAATTCTTTTTCAGTATATAAGTAGAGCCCCCCCCCCCCCCCATTTTGGTATCCCTGACCCAGGGGCCTTGAAATTCTTAATTCTGGAAGAAGAGCCCATCATAACTATGTAAATAGTTCATCTGCTTATTACACAGATGTAGAGAAAACTCTTGCTCATCATAACTATTATTTAATACCTAGGAGCAGAGAAGAAGATTTTCAAAGATTAAATGAATTTTCACTATATAATCAATAGAGCCCCACCCTAATACCAGAACCCTTCACCCTGGGGCCATAAAATTCACAATTTTGGAAGAGGCACTCTTGCTCATCATAATTATGTCCTTATTTAGTTTATTTAATACTCGGAAGCAGAGAAGAAGATTTTCAAAGAATTAATGCATTTCACTATATAATCAATACAGCCCCGCCCTTACACCATAACCCCTGACCCTTGGGTCATAAAATTCACAATTTTGGTAGAGGCACTCTTGCTCATCATAACTATGTACTTCACTAGTTCATTTAATATCTAGGAGCAGAGAAGAAGATTTCAAAAGATTTAATGCATTTTCACTATATAATCAATAGAGCCACGCCCTAACACCAGAACCCCTGACCCTGGGGCCATGAATTTCACAATTTTTGTAGAGGACTCAATGCTGATTATAATCATACCAACAGTTTGACTGCTTGATGTCCGGGAGTAAAGAAGAAGATTTTTAAAGATTACACTAATTTTAGTGGTTTTTACCTCACCCCCCAGGCCCCAGGGGGGCAGGGACCACGAAATTCACAATTTTTGTTCCCCTTCACCCATAGATGCTATATGCCAAAATTAGTTGAAATTGGTTCAGTGGTTTCAGAGAAGAAGCTGAAAATGTTTAAATGTTAACGCACGACGCACGACGAACGACGACTGACGAAAACAGATAGCAATAGGTCACCTGAGTTTACTCAGGTGACCTAAAAATTATCATAATCTCCCTTTCGCAAAAGTAAAAAACTTGATTTTCCTGTGCATTGAGTACACCAGAGCATTTATTTTTTCATAGCATAATTAGTCAACCCTTCCGACGGTAGTCTTAATGGCTGAGATTAGCTGTATTATTCCAAAGTCAACAAATCCCCCCGCTCAATCGAATCCTGCGAATTTTCGATTTAGGATAGAATATACAGAACCCAGCAGGTTTGTTACTTGTGAATGTTTGTAAAAAGTATCGACAAATATTAGCTACATTTTTTCAGTGTAAACATGCTAAAAAACACTAGTGCTAATTGTAACGGGGACCGTTACAGATGTTCCCCAAATGCTCCCCAACTCTCTTTTTGTGCCATATTACCTGTAAGCTTCATTAAATAAGACAAACTCTATGTTTTTTAAGACTTTAACATTTACCTGGAAGTGTACGAAGTTCATTCAAATTTTAGCATTGCATGCGTGCGCATGCGAATGCCTGTGCGTAATGACCATATTATTTTGTCTACACAATCCATATATTTTGATAAACTTAAAATTAAAGTATTTAATCCAAAATAATAAAAATACCCTCATTCAAGTGTATTTTTGATTTTGTTCATTTCACGTGCACGCACGTGCATACATGAGCACGGTGACCATACCTTCTTGTAGAAGATCATTACATCTATCTATGTTCTAAATCCCACCCCATATGGTTGAAAACCAAGGGCGTTTTACCTGTTAAAAGTTTCAGTCAATTAGATTGCAGCGCACGTACACGCATGTGCGCATGTGCATGGTGACCATACCTTTCTTGTAGTAGTCCATTATATCTATCTATGTTCCAAATCCCATCCTGTTTGGTTGGAAACCAAGGGAGTTATAGCTGTTTAAAGTTTCAGCCAATCAGATTGCAGCGCACGTACATGCACGTGTGTCCATGTGCATGGTGACCATACCTTCTTGTAGTAGTTCATAATATCTATCAATGTTTAAAATCCCATCCTCTTTGGTTGAAATCCAAATGAGTTATAGCTATTTAAAGTTTCAGCCAATCAGATTGCAGCGCACGTGCATGCACGTGTTTTCATGATAATTGCTATATACCATATTGAAGGATATCCTAATGCATGGCTATAATCAAACTTTCAAAGCATTTCGTCAAAAGACAAAAAAGATATTGAGATTTTTGTTTGAGCGATCAGAGTGCAGCGCACGTGCATGCGCGTGAGATCTTGCTATTTTGACCATGTCATATTGTCTATACTTCTAATGTATCCTTATATTATGAGTTCTAAAGCATTTCATCAAAAATTTAAAAAGTTACATCTATATCAATGTAATCGGTCATTTATCATGTTGCACGTGCACGCTCTTGGAAGCACGTGCGCGCAAAATGACCTTCGTTCCGCAAATCTACATTACATGTCTACTGACCCTAAAAACATTTCACCTTAGTCTGATGTGTAGTTTACAAGATCACTCGCGGACAAAATTTTCCCAGGAAGAAAAATAAGAACTAGTGCTAATTGTAACGGGGACCGTTACAGATGTTCCCCAAATGCTCCCCATGTCCCTTATCGTGCCTTATTCCTCTAAGACCTTTTATAAATATGCCAAGTATCCCAAGATTTCATTTAAGAATATAAAAGTTACAATAATATCAACTATCAACGATATATTGTTTAACGTTTTGCATGCGCGCACACGTACATGTACATGCATATGCAAGATGATTATGGCATGTTGATTAAGCGATCAACATATCTAACAACCAAGCTATATGATAAACGTGATGACTTTAACTTTTCTATCGTCAGCTTCCCTTACTTATGCAGCAATATACCTTCATCACCTGAATACGGAGTATTTATATCTCAATTGATTCGATACGCTACAGCATGCTCTACGTATGAACAATTTCTTAAACGAAGTAAATTATTGACAAGCAAGTGGATGATACAAGAATATCAACAGTCTCGTTTAAAGTCATCATTTCGTAAATTCTATTGTCGATACAATGACCTTGTCAGCAAATACAATTTATCATTGAATGAAATGCTGACTGACGTTTTTCATACCAATTGTTAGTCCATTATTTATACACTGAATTGACCACGGATTTTTTCCGTTATATCCTGATTATGACAACGAGCACACGGCGGGTGTGACCGGTCAGCAGGGGATGCTTACTCCTCCATGGCACCTGATCCCACCTCTGATGTTTCGGGGTCCGTGTTTGCTCTGCTCTTATTTTGTATATTTGTTTAATGGACGTTGAGATTGAATACTGTTTGTTATTTCCATATCCTTCTTTATCGCGAATCAAAGAAAAAAATACATATATATATTTACCATTTTTCAAGCATACGTCATATTATTGATTCACATTTTATTTCTCTACTTATTTTAACCTCGGGCTCAAAGTTGGTTTTATTCCGACGACAAGGCAGGGTTAAAGTTGACTAAGGGTATCACGCCAATACCTAACCAATCAAAATGAACTTATTCAATAGTAGTTCCATACGTGGAAAAGGGATTTTCCTTTCTGTTCAGAATTTTTTTAAATATTTCCTCTCAGGCCATTTTGACAACTCTGATACCTGTGCCTGGTAAATTTTATATACTTTGTA